AGGGTTTAGGGGTTTCGGGTTTACCTAACCCTAAAACCCAATGCAAAGGTGGGAAAGACCCCATGACAGCAGAGCACTGGCGGTGAATGGACGTTGGGTGGACCAACTACCTGGAGGGTCAGGGGGACTTATGTTTAGTAATAATGGAAAAGAAATGGAAACTAATATGATATTTAGGGTTCAAGGTCAGGGGGACTTAGGGACCCCTAGGGTACTTAGAGACCCCTGCCATGTAGCGAAACAATATTGATCAATAAGGCATGGTAGAAGACGGGCGCTCGGCAGAGCTTTTAAGTCCACAACACCAAACAGCAACCGACACCAAAGGACTTCTGCCAAGAACCAGGGGACCCCATGAAGCCAGTCATGCAAGCCCTGCCCTCGGCACATCCAAGCCCAAGATCGCAAATAGTGACCACAAGAAGAAGAAGAAGCGTATTAAGCAGGCTTGCAAATGCCCCTGTTGCTGCCAGCAACTTTGAGCAAGATCGTCTTAACAACCCTTACCATACCCTGCCCCCACCTCTGTGCCGCTACGACATCCGACCCCAGGCCTCAGGGCTCAGCCAGCAGTGGCCAAGGAGATGTGCGCCAAGTGGACGCATAGCCTGGAAAGGTCCAAGCCCCAGGATCGACGTGGAGGGTCGGGAAAACTTAGCTAGTATGTTAAGAATGGGGATCATTAGGGTTACTGTATGTGTTACCAAGTCCCCCTGACTCTCCAACTGCATCATGATCATCAGAACTGCTGCAAACCTGGCCCGCGATGTTGTCCATCTGATGAGAACATGAAGCTTCACAGATTTAAGGCCCGGGAGTTCGTGGCAGGGCTACTGGGATGTAGGATGTTCTAGTGCCATGTGCTACAAGGCCATTGCAGTCAGGTAGGCATGCTCTAATTGCAGTGCACACTGTAGACATCTGAACTGCTTCTCGGCCATTGACGAGCCCCAAAACCACATTAATCTCCTCCTCTCATAACACATTAAACCCTTAAGCCCGTAATCACAAGCATTCCGTCCTCCATTGTGAATCATCTGACTTAGGGGGGTGGTTCATGAGCAGAGAGGGGATTACCAAGATAGCCGGGGCGCTGGTCTCCACAGCTCATCTTGAAGGGCTCCTGGAGCGACGGCATGAAAGAGAAAGTAGGCTAGCCCGAAAAAAAAGACATATATATATATATGGGAATTTCCCCAAATTAAGGATATCTTTTTTGGGAAGTACACACACACACATATATATATATGTGGGAATTTCCCCAAATTTAGCATATCTTTTTGGGGGGGTCCCTGTAATAAGGGTTATAATATTTTGGGATCTATATTAGGGTTCCCCTATTTTGGCAAACTACCATATATCCCTTTGAGTGGGCCTTGGCCGCTAGGACTTGTGTAGCTGCTTCAAGAAGGTGTAAGCTTCGCTTCAGTTGAAGAAGCCCCATGTCGAGGTTCAAGAGTCAGGTGTGCCGTTGTCCGCAAATGTACTCGGCTCGTGCCCACTTGGAAGCTTTTCCATGTTCATGATTGTTTTCACCCACCCAGCGTGCTCCAGCACTTTACATCTAGCTCTACCCTTCACGCACAACCAACGCAAGGAAGCCCCAACAAAATAGGGAATCAGCCAGCGGAGAATGACACAATAAACTCAAAACATCCACAGGAACGTTTACCAATCCCGAAAAAAACACTTCGAGTGCCTCCTGACCCAGGAGCCTCGAATGCCAGGAAAAAGGAAGAGCATCTTAGGCTCTGCTCGAATTGCAGGAAACGTTACCACGAAAGGTTTAGGCACTCATGCTAGCATAAAGGCGGGTTCTTTTTTACGGGCCGTGTGCCCTTCTCACGACGTGACCCTTTCCAGCTGCTTGTCCTTGGGCAACTTCATCAACCTGAGCGCGTTCCATTGGGGGGCCTTACCCTTTCAAACTCATCCCACAGTTGAAAGCCGCCTTTTTTTCAGACCTTTTACATCCCTGGCGTTGGAGTTCAGTTCAGGGACGTCCTAGCATGGAGAGCACGTAGTTTGTCCCAATCATTCAAAATTCAGGGCATATGACAGCAGAATCTCACGCGGAGCATCAAGCCACCGTAGCAATCGTTGATGGTGCCAAAGTTGAAGTAGCAGTGGAATTCTAGGGAGCCCCGCAGAATTTCTGCTGGGATGGGCACGTTGCAAGGTTGTGAAGAAGCAACGCAAATACAAGACTTAAGTCTTAATTAGGGTATTTGGCGTGCATCCTTCCCCCCCCAGGCAGGGGCTCCCAGAACTCACCCCCAACTTGCAGGGTTCTCAGGGATAGCCACAAGGCTTGACAACCTTCCAACAAATTCCTGACCAATGTCAGTGTACTGCGGACAATCACGGTCCCAGCCGCTTGTCAAAGGACTCGTCAGTGGCAAAGATGAAGGCCAGGACACGATTCCTGGAATTCAGGTCTAGCTTGATCAAGGTAAACTGTCCATTAAGGCACAATAAGGGGTAAACTTCGAATCTTCAACCAGAACGTTGGAACACACTCTATACGACATCACGGCCCCAGCCTGACTAAACAACTTTGGCGCCGCATGGCCACAGCCCAGCTTTGGAGATATCACTTCCCAGCCCACATAAAACTGCGAACGGTACCCCAATAATGTTTTCTGTCATCCCGAATGCTCGATCATCATCAATGCGAAACGTAGCCAACGACCCCAGGATGGGCCCGGTAGTGCAACTCCTGATCTACAAGCTCGAACCCCCTCACCCAAACATGAGGATGTCAATCCCAAACCACGAAGCTCTGTTCCTAAAGCCTGCTAACGGAAACTACTATAGTATATTGGGGTTTTATAGGGATAATGGAAAAGAAAATGGAAACTACTATAGTTTTCTTTTGCTGCACGCCCTCAGCACTCAACCTCAGGCGAGCGTCACGTAAGTCACGGACTCCGAGGACTCGCCAGGCTTGACCTCGAAACATCCAGGGCTCTTAGGGGGGCCGAATCTGGCCCTTAACCAATTGAAGCTATCCTGCTGATATCTCGGGGTTGTCCCTTTTTGGGGGGCTCTGCAAGTTCGGATTCTACTATCTCGCGATCCATGCCGGAGCTCCCCTTTGTTGCAAACCCGCATGGCTGGGATACACAAGGTATGCAGCATATTTTGTGAATGCGCCTCGGCTTGGAAATGACGTGTCGCATTCGGCGCTGTCATCTTTAGAAACAATCCATACTATCATGTCCACAGCTACACAGCTTAGGCAAAAGGGCAGACATGTTGCGTAAGCAAATCTACGTATCTACGTATAAGCCTGACAGGTTGCAAGTGCTCCCTGCCACCGCAGGCTTTTGGTGCAAGTTTTCAGAGCCGTTTACGAGAAGCCATAAGGGCTAGCATGACACGTCACAAGTTGTCTTTGCCCCTCGCCCCCAGGATGCAATGAGCAACCATGTGGCTACACAACCATCTCAAGCATCCCTGGATATCAGGAAGAAGACAGTGAGACAGGACCAGCTCACGGCCCGCGCAATTTTGCCATGCTGCCTAGCAGAATGTCTAATTGCTCCGCTCTGAGAGTCAACACGCCTCAACTCTCTGAATTTAAATATGCGCCCCGATACATTTTAGTTCCATGGGGTGAAAATGATATTCAGGGACAGGGGTGAGCTTGATCTTGCTTACAGGGAAGGGGTTCATGACTCAGCAAACTGAAGGCTCCGGCCATTCGTATGGCTGCTTGGAGGTCTTCCTTTGTGACGTCTCCGTACCAGTAAACACACCTCGACGGGCTGGGCTCTGGCGACCTCTTGAACAGTTTCCTGGCTCGTAGGAATATCCAGAATTTTCAAGTACATTGTAACAGTATCAAATAACGAGACCAGCAGCCTGAACGAGGTTGAGGCAGGTGTAACATGAAAATTAGGAGAACGAACGCGATGGTTAGTTCATCAACACAAGACGCGTAATGTGAATGTTCTCGTTCTTGCGCTAATGGCTTGGTCTGTCGTATACACATGGTAAAGCCCCACCGACCCAGCACGGCGTTGCACGAAAGAAGGAGCTGGTAGCAATCATACGTTCGATTGATAATTCAACTGTCTTTATGGGGGGGCGGTCCGAAGATTAGAGGAGGTCCCAAGAATGTATGGAAATTACCATTTGACGCCTACATAAACCCAGTTTCCATTTCCCATTCCATGCGCTTTTCCACTTGATTTGTCACTATTGCAGACTCTCCTTGTGGGGTTCCAACTTCTCGGTCATCCGGCCCCGCCCCGACCCGCCCCAACCGACCCGACGACCGCCTCGACCGCGCCGTGCCATCTCGGCCCCGGCTCTCCTCCCTGTACTTGGAGGGTCAGGGGGGCCCAGTAAGTAGGGTAATAATCCCCATAACCCAGTAACCCCAATTACCACCACTATTAACCTACTTACTAAGTCCCCCTGGCCCTCCAAGCAAGACTCCTCTTCCAGATCCTCCCGGCGACATCTCGGGACTTCCAACAGTCTCTGTAGTACACCGCGGTTCCTTGTTGTGATGCTCCTCGTCTTTTCTCATTGTCGCCGATTGCCATCCTTTCTCACCATCACTTCTTCTTGCCAATCTTCTTCTCTCTTCTCTTCTGGTTCGGTTCTGCTTAAGCTACACATGTGCTTTTCCCGTCCGTTGATTTGGGCAATATCTCCAAACCCTAAACCCTCAATAGTAATTACCTTGTACTTCCCACATTTTTTAAATTTTTCGAGGCAACAAGCCAACCCTGGCCAAAGTCAAGAACTGCCACATGTGGAAATTGACGTCCCGCCTATGACACAGGCTGCAATGGCGATTGAATAAATACAGCTTCGGAGGCATAATATAAGGAATATACCATGGGATTTGCAAGGTGCCATCTCCTCAAGAATATCTAGACTCCACACCCGAAGGTGTAATGACAAGGACGATATTGGTCAGACTTCCACATGAGCTATAGTCTAAATTCGTAGTATCCCGCTCAATAACCCTATAGTAAACCCCTATATACAATCCTCTATATAACCCCCTTTAAGGAGTTTAGATTATGGCTCACATGATAACCTCCAACACGTCCCAAGCAATACGCACTGCACCCACAAGCGACGTAGAAGATCACAACGTCCACGCAGAAGCTTTCCAAGACTGGCCCCTAAACTCTGAGCTACTGGGTTGCTGCTAAGGAACTTAATTTAAGTCACCACACTATGGGTATGAAGTAAATAATGGGTTCCTTATAGTAAATCAAAACGACTTCCTTGACAGCAACCCTAAACCCTAAACTTTAAGGACTCATTAGGGTCCCTGCTTGCCCTCATCGCCCAGGATGGGATCATCATTCTTGTCAATGCCCTGGCTCATTTGAGGGGGTCTGCAATCAGGGCCCCTACATACCGCCAAGACAATACTCGGAAACACAAGCAGGGGAGTCATGATGTTTGAGGAATTTACATCTATACAAAGCCTTTCGGTACGTCATGCAAATCCTACAGCCACAAAAACATGGACCCATGATTTTGAAAGGTTTCATCTCGCCGTTTCTAGGCGCGATTTAGGGCTGTGGGAGCCATCGACTCTAGTAGGAGCCTCCAAAAACTGGGGCCCCCTGGAACATACGCGGCTTACATGGGGGTTACTCCCTATACCCTAACCTCTTAAGAGATATTCTACAAGGGGACGTGTTGAGTCACCCCCCCCCCCCAATATTCAATATCTCCATGGTGGTATATTTTACTTTTACCATTTGGAATTATTTGGAGTATTCGAACATGAGGGGGTAGGGGGAGTTTAATATTAGCGGCAGAGGATTAACATCCGGCCTTACATTGTTTACATATCGCAAATGGGCAGCGATGGTTTCCTTAGTTGTCTAGGCCATCTTCCCTTTGTCTGAAAAAAATGCTGCTACGTAAGGTTTCCGGAGAGGGGTCATAGTATCAACCAGTGTCGAGGTAGCAGGTAGTTCAAAGCCGTCATTTGCGACTGTTCATGCTTGCCCCATGGCAAGAAACCTTCACGCAGAGGGTCGGCCGCTGGGCAAACTCACAGCTAAGACTCATTCCAAGAATTTGAATGAATCAGCAAGTAGATGATGGATTAGCTGTCCATACTTTCTTGTCCTTGCTTACACTAGAATTTCTCAAATTGATCCGACTATTTTTCCAGAGCCTCCCACCAACGTCCATCTCCGTCAACACTTTCGGGTCCAGACAAAGATACAACAAACAATCTCCGCAAAAAAAGGAGCTGGCGCATGAAAAACAAAGCCACTTGCCTTGGCTAGCTGTCGCAGCACGTCTTCGAGTTGCTCCGGGCTGGCGAAGAAATCGTTGGCTCGCGGATGCGCATACCTTGCAGTGACTCAGAAATCATGTAAATGATGGGACGGGTTGCAAGATAGCTTTTCTAAGGATGAACTGGCCAAACCACCTGTTCATTGTACATACAACCCTGCAATCCTGTACAACCCTGCAGTGCCTCACGGCAGAAGGTCATGAAATACAAGCAAAAACTGCAGCTGCTGACGAGCCACTCGCTCCATCGCTTAATGGCGGCTGCTACCTCCCCGTTGACTTACGGATTTTGGAGCGGGTGTCAGGGTTTGATTTCAGGTTGTTTAGGAGTTTGGGTAGGTCTAGGACTAGGGGACTGCAGAATGATTACGTGAAGTTGCGAAATCACGGGTGCATACATATATGCACATGTGGCTGTGGCTCAAGACCTTGTTTTGCAGCGAGGTGCACATTCCTTTGTGGCGGCCTGGCGCTTACACCTGGCCTACACATCCCTTATACCAATATCCCTACAACTATAACTCTGAAGCCTCTTCGTCGCTGCGGGCTTGAAAAGCCGCTGCATCGCGTCGGGAGGAGGATTTTCGCCTCTCCTGCGTTTGGGGGTGTCGGGATTCGAGTTGACTCTGAAGATACCGTAATTAAGATATGGACATAAAAGATCTGATGCGACATAGGTTACACAAAGTGAATGTGTATGCAATTTAAGATGACATGACCTGACATAGCAGATTAGTGCAAACTGAAGTAAGACATAAGCACAGGGACTAGGGAATTGAGTTGGATGCTTGGTTTCGATGGGTAACCCAATTTCGACAACACAAATATTCAGGGTTCATGTTTGGACTCGGGGCTTTTTATCCCAGCACGTGATCGTACACTTCGTGCATAAATAGGGTTTAGGGTATAGGTTTGCAAGCTGAGAATGCCACTAGCATATGTCATGCCTAGACGCAGGGGATGGTTGGGCATGACATCCCGGTCAGAAATACAGTAAGTACAGCTCTGAGAAGGGCATGGATGGACGTGATTCCATGCAATCCTTGCATCCTCTCGATTTCCTCCAGTATGGTGTGATGAAGGAACTAACTTGACAACATTAGACCCCTAATACATAACCGGGTATGATATAGTAATTTTCAATGTTCTTTTCCATTGTCCTTTCAAAGCTCAATAATGTACCCCATATTCTAGTATTTTGTTTGGCCTCTGGCTCCTCATGGCGCTCTCGCCTAGATGATGCCAAGGATGCTACCCTAAAGCCTAGCCTCCTTGGTCCGAAGCCCTAAACCCTTTACATAAGTTGGGAGGCATGTCTGGGGGCTTGAGATTTTGAGTTCTGCGACAAGTTTAGGTCTAAGTACCGAAGGTCAGGATCTTTTAAGCAAACCCAGGGTAGGACCGAATACCTTCTGCTACGTGGCTCCCCGTGAGCCCCGAAGCATGGCAAACGACAACGATGGCCTTCTTCTTCTTTTCTTTCTCCTGCGCAGATTCAGAATTTTGAGGCAAGTGGCACAGCTTCATGATTTGGCTGGGTCCATGAATTGTCGCAGCTCTGAAGGCTTTCTGGGTTCCTGCCATGTCTTGGGTGCACCTGTGAGCAAACGAGTAGTATCCTTCTCAGGCTTCCCGCCGCCCGCGAACATGGCATTGAAAGGGTTCTCCGAACACCTCAGGATGCCAAAACATGTCATGCACGTGTCACAGGTAAGCCTCGGGCCATGAAGCTGCTCGCGCTTAGCTTGGAGCATACGACATTGAAACATTTCGAATCAATGTGCGGCCTGCGCCAGGCAGCTAGGGCACTTACAAACTAGGACCCCTGTGCAACATTCGGCAGCCTCAGCCGCTGCAGCAGCACAAGGCCAGAAAATTCGGAACAGCTAAGGGCTGTGGGCCGCCAGCAGACATCTTGCATGCAATTAGTTAACAGCAACAGCTAGAGAGCTAGGAAGCGTCGAAAAAAAAATCGGGGAAACCTGGATGACGAACCATCAGAGGGCAAACTGAGAAGGTCAAAGACCTTTGCAGCACAAACCCCTAGCAACCTCCCACATTGTTGCAGGCCATACCGTTGCCTGAAATGAAACCTGCTCGCCAACATCTGGCGGGTGTCAAAAACATGGTCCTTTTTTGGGGTTCTTTAAATACCAGAAAAACCGTAAGTTTGGCAACCTACCATTTGTACTTGGCGTCTGGCTGTGTCTGTCAGAGACCTGGCCACTGTGCAGCGGAGGGCACATGTTCCGCAGTGGGCTTCTGGACTCTAGAAAATCTTCCAAGGGGAATGCATGCGCAAAGCTTGCATGGCACGCGAAAAATCTGACGTGCACACGACATCCTATCATAGACTCCACTTACAAAAGCCCAGCATTCTATGAATCTGTTCCTTGTTAGAGGGACCCCAAAAAAGGCCCTGAACTTTTTTGAGATCCCCACATGAACAGCTGAAGACGTTAGCAGGGTCACTACAGTTATAATCAAAAGTATCAGGGTGGTTGTCAAAATTATGGTCCCTTTTTGGGTACCCTAAATACTAGGTATCGTATTATAATAGTAATAATAGTGATCCAAGAAGTGAACATAATTTTGACAACCACCCATCAACGTCACGGACTGTCTCCTGGCCGACGTGCCTTGGTCTTGGGTTCATCTGGATGCCGTCCCCGCTTCCACTGCAGACGTTTTGCACGCCCATGCCTGCAGCGACAGGCTTCTCAGCTTGGGCTCTGTTCCCCCGTAAGTAGATGGAATATGGCTTTGGGTATGTTATCATAAGATCCCCACATACCCCATACATATTCTATCTACTAAACGGGGACTATAGGGTTTAGGGTTCAGGGTCTAGGAAATCCTGGAGATGGAGCCTTTGCGGCATGGCGAGACACTGGCACCCAAGCTAACAACAATACAAAGTACAGGCCAAACTCCCAACTTCCCGAAGATCACCCGAAGATCACCTGGAGAGGAGCTGCAATCAGGCCAAAAGGAAGCTGGGCTGCTTAAAGAACTCCAGTTAAGTTACCATAGCAATTAAGCCATGCTATTTACACAACTACTATATCTCCACATTCTGATACGTTAGCTTCATGTCCTGTCATTTCCTGAACAGCACTGAGTATTTTGGCCATCTGGGTCATTAGGTCATTAGGTGGCTTTCTCGTAGCCCAGCATCCCGTGACCATCCCCCTGATGCCTGAGTCGGCGCAAAATACATCCCATTCCTTCGGATTATTATAAGCGGATAGCCAAATCAGTGGAGGCGGCCGTCGTAAGCTTATGAGGCAGAAAAACCTATCAAATGCAAACTACAGCATAATACAGCAACCTTTGCGTTGCTCTTGCGCAAGCTGATTACCTTGCCCTAAACCCCAAGTCCTGAACCGAAACCCCTAACCCCAAGGCCCTCAACTATAATACCCTATATAGTATACTATAGTATACTATAATATACTGTACTAACATACCCTATATAATAGACTATAATAATATACCCTATGTAATATAGGGGCCAAGGTTCAAGAGTATCTTCGGGTGCCTCCGTCATCGACAGGCAGACTGAAAAACTTTATAAGTCAAATGGGATTGTCCAATATCATGGTTACATTCGGGTTCTATAGGGATAATGGAAAAGAAAATGGCAACTACTATGTCGGGTTTAGAGTGGGATTGTCCAACATCTAAAATTGGCGGCTTGCACCGTGCTCGCGCCAAGCTTGCGCGCGCACAGTTTGGTTCAATTATTGTTCTTGATGTTTTTCGTGTACGCCCATCACACTTTGCCTTGCGGTGTTCCTTGCGCCGTGCATTGGGCCGTGCTTGCGCGGGCCCGTGCGCGCCTAATTTTTGACAAGCTAGATACATACTGAGTCTTCGTTTGCGTAAATCAAACAAGGGTTCTGAGACAACCCTCAATTCAAACATTGCCAGCCGGAGAGGTTTGATAGTAGGTGGCAATGGGTCAGCGCCTCATCCTTGGTTGGGGATTGCATGAAACAATCTGAATCGTCCAATCCCTGTGGCCATTTTTCTCGGATCCTGAAGCACGCCATCTCTGTGCAGACCTTCTGTCTGGCTACAGCTGAGCAGCTTCGAACAAGGGACTTGCAGGCTGGGCTTGGGACCATGATAACCCCCGCCCCCGAACATTAAACCCCCCCGCCCACCCCCACCTAATACTCAAGACTACCCGTTGTGGTATGTTATGTTATGGTATCTTGGGAGTATTTTTTAATTTTTTTGGGGGGGGTGTGGGGGGGTTTGATACTACGGGAGATCAATAGAAACGGTTGTGCCCGCATCAGACAGACAAAATATCTTCTTGCACATTTGTAAGGAATGCCTTGCATCACAACATCTTCACGCCCTAGGATCCCTTCAGTAACTGCTCATTGGTCCTGGTCCGCAAGTACAGGTCGCGGAGCTGTGCACTTGAAAGCATTGTTTCCATGTGTTCCATCTTCAGGAGGATGACCTTCGAAAACACAAGGCAACTACAAGTTAAAGCCTGAAGTGGAAAGCACCATGCAGCTTCAATTCCGGATAAGCTCTCCGAAGGTCCGAACAAACTAATTGGGGTTGAATTCTGATTCATGTCGCAGGGATCTTGCGGCTGGCGTTCACACCTGCCAACAGTAACCCCAGGAGAAAGCAGCGACTGCCAGCGCTGTACAAATCCATGCTAGCACCCACCCCAAGCCCCAAGAGGCAACAAGGGCGGTGACCATACTTCCGCCAGTGAACAAAACACAAAATGCGACAGTGAAAACTAAAACTTCCAGGGCGAAAGACTTGCATCCCCATGCTTCAAATTTCAAACCACGCTTGCTGGTGAAATTGTACAAGATCACAACGGAAGGAAGCCAGAGCATGTCATGGGCAAGCATGTGGCTGGCAGCGAAGCCAACCAGGCTCTGTATCGGCGCTCCAGCTCTCCACAAACCCACCAAGCCTTCCAAACTCAGGCACAAGACCGGCGACAAGGCAAGCCAAAGGTAGCCAAGGGACATCTTGCGGCCAGCTCGCAGGAGCTCTAACACCTCTAGGCGGAAAGGCCCTCGCACATGTTCGGAAAAGGCAGCCAAGCTTCCGTACCAGTGGGTGATGGCATCATGGATACATTGTCTGTCGAAATCATTGCTGCACTCCACCTTGGTAAGGTCAAATGTGGCCAGGTCGGATTCCAACTTGTCATGGTCCAGCTGCTTCTTCCAGCCCACATGTGCCAAGGAAGGGAACACAAGAGTAAAGACTCCCAAGAAAGCAAACAACATTCTCCAATCATTGCCACCTTGCGGGCCTGTCCTTTCCAACCAGAATATGACGGCAAAGAATTGCACCCAGAGAAACATCTGGCAAGCCAACAGTTCGTTCAAGATGGGTGCGATGACAATCTTCCCACCTGGATTCAACTTTCGATATGCGGCAATCTCGAACACACACCATAGCCTCGAAAGCAGCGGCGCGCTCCAAAGCACACGCAATTCCGCAGAAGCTGCGAGGAAGTGTCCGATGGACTGGATGCCCTGTTGCATTTGGACGCTGTCCGTCTGATTGATACAAACGAAATCGAGAAAACAAGTGTCTGAGCCACGGCAGGGCAAATAAGGAAAAAGCATCAATCCTCCAATCGGCGCAATAAAGCCGGCAAGCATGATCCAGCAACCACAAGGCACTTGGGCGTGAAAATCTATAGCATGGACCTCGTAGCTTGCGAAGGCCGGCAAAACATCATACAAGCACAGGATGAAAGACACCAGAACCCCCATCGCCCATGCAACGAGCATTGTTGGCCAGCCGAAATGGAGCAGCAGTGATAGCATCTTCCATTTGCCCCGTGTCCACCAGGTATGCGACAAGAATCTATCAAAACGTGCTGTGGGTTTGGAGGCAGCAAACACCTGTTCTTTCTGGTCCAGGCTTAGGACTGATGGATTGTACAACCAGAGCATGCCTCCCTGTCGCAACGTCTTTCGCAGCGAAATCCCACGCATCAATTCAGGCCGCAAAATACTGCCTTCTGTGAGAACGGTCTGCGGGGCCTCCACATCGACATGGGCCTCGTCGCTCATGGGCGGATCGCTGCTGTCATTGCTGCTGGGGCTGAGTGTAGACATCTGGATACCGTTGGCTGGTTCCTCGCCCTCTCCGCCCCGCCACACTGTGCAGCAGCTCATTGCAACAATAGCAAGTTGGACCTGGTACTGAATTGCTCCAGAGGCGCCTGCCTGTCTGCTTGGCAGTCAGGCAAGGCAGCCTTTGATCGCACTTAAAGGCAACTAGTGCCACGTCCTAAACATCACGAAGAAAACGAGCCTGCATGCTGCAGCATGTCTGGGGCTGGAGGGGGCGACTGACGGCGCAAGGTTCATTTATGCTGGCCTGAAAATGGGACGACTACAGCCCTACTATTCCAAACTCCGACTGCGCCGCCATCCTTGCGGCTACCATCACTACTCGCTTCTGCTACTTCTACTGAATCCCAACAAGCCTTCCACCATCGATGCCAGCTGGTTTTGATCCAGGCGCAATGGAACCTTGGTTCCATAATACATAAAATCACACTTTGCACCTTGATACATGCTGAGGCCCATACCAGCCGACACGCGGATGGGCAACCATCCAACAAAAGTTGCTGCCTTGGACTGCTTGAATCCCAGCATTGCCACCGTTGTCTTGCATGCAGCCACATCCATGAAACACGGCTAGCGCTTGCCTCCGGCCGGAGGCAGCGAGATACCGTGACCATTGCAACCTGCAGCGAGGC